GACATTAGAAAATTAGACTTGGTAAGGTTTTACGTTTTTGCAGTGTGGGTAGTTAACTAGTACTTACTGGGGAACACACAGCCAAGCCTTATTAGGGGACAACTGGTTTGTTACCACAGGAACAGAGGAGAAATTCTCCATGTGCGTTCTGAATAAACCCTGCACCAGTGAGGTCACAGCTCGTATTTGTCAAAAACCAGTTTCCTAGTGATTACTGAATTTATTGGATTTTCTCTTTTGTAAACCTTTTGATGAAAGACATGATCAATTTCATAATCTTGTACTGCTGTCATCTTAACTATGTCTGACTCTCTCTTACTGAGTACCAAATTATTGCTTGGCTATTATTTTGTTCACTGATGTAGTGAGGCATCATACCAAGTACTTACTGAGGAACTAATCATTACTTAATCACTACCTGACCATTACCTACTGGTTTGTTCCTGTGGTAACAAACCAGTAGTCCCCTAATTAGGCTTGGCTGTGTGTTTCCCAGTAAGAACTTGTTAACTACACATAAACTCCTGATTCATTCCTCTTTGGTTTCCTTGGTAACTACCCATTAGTTCTTGATTAGTTCCTTTTCATTTGCAAGGTAACTAACCAGTACTCCCCTATAAAGAGTTGGCTGTGTGTTCCTCAGTAAGTACTGGTTAGCTCCCATTAGCTCCTGATTTGTTCCTGAGGTGTTCCCTAGTAGTTAATCAAATTTTGTGTACCTTATTGTAAAGTGTTACCAAAATAAAATTTGCAGTGCTTCCACTTTATTAATCATTATTTCACCAGTAAATCTAATAATCTCTGGGTAACCCACTATCATGTGTTTCTTCCTGTTTAAGATTTTATACGTCCTCCCCCTTCAAGCTCCTATCTTTTCTGTGTCTCAGGTTTCCCTCCATTTCTTAAGCTTTTCTGACTCCGTCATCTCTTTCACTTTGCCATCATACTCTGCTGATTTCCTTCTCTCTGCTCATCTCCTCCGTCTCAGTGGGAGTTTCAAAAACACTTTATCTCGCCCATGAAAGGAAAGTGCTGCTTCACTTCCCCAGCTCTTTTTTTAATACAAAATAGAAAGTAATGTGAAATATCCCCCAGACTCACAAACACTCACACATACTGACATTCACAGCATCTATTTTCTGTTATCAGTGTCTGAGGCGACGCGACAATAGGGAGGGGCAGGAAAGAGGTCTGAAATGAGCCTGGTGGATTGGGAAAGGTAAGGAAGAATGAAGAGTTTGTTAGTGTGTACAAGAGGGGAAACAAATACAAAATGTAGTGAAGTGCTTTAAGGTGGCTCAGGTAGGTGTGTGTGTGTGTGTGTGTTTCGTTGTCTGTGCGTAAAAAGCTGTTCAAAAAGAGGAAACTCTCCCAAGAGGCAGTGTCTGTCTGAGTTGTTTAGCTCAGCACGACAAAAGACACAGAGGTGATCAAAAAGGGAATTCAGTGTGGGTTATGAACAAAGAGGCACTAACAGTCTGTTTTGCTTTAGAGGGTGGAGATGAACAAAATGCACACATTAATGTTCAGTTTTTTTTCTTCCTCAGGTCAAAACACTTAATAATGCAAGGGGAAATTTTTTAAAAAGAAAACGTCACTGATAGACTAGTTTAACAGTTTTGCCTTAATTTTTGGAGAAGCTATTGTCATTGTGCAGTAAATGTTGAAATCATAGATTCTGTATCAAATTTTAAATATACCAATCAACCTAAAAGTTTAGAAAGACAATAAGATCTAAATTTATGTGTTCAAGTGCACAAATGTGATTGCCGTAATTTCCTGTCTATTGAGCACACCTGAAAATAAGCCACGCCTACTAAATTTAAAAAGAAAAGTAATTCTGTACATATGTAGACCGCACTTGTGTATAAGCCACATGTGTCCACGTTGTAACATGAGATATCTGCACAGAAAGATTGTATAAGCTTTTAATTTAACACAAAGTACATACTGGTTACATGCATAAATATATACAGTAATTGTTTTTTTGTTTTTTTCTGAACAGTGCCTGTAACACAGCTGGTTTAAAAAAATAGAATTTAAAAAATATAGTAGCCTACCAGGAAAAACCATTGATCATTATCTTCATTTCTTCTGTGCACTAAAACCACTAAAGTCATCTTCTTCAGTGTCAGACTTGAACAGCCTCAGAAAAACTTGACACACGTCCTCAGTCTCTTTTGTTGTCGCTCTCAACGTTGCTTTCATCTTGAGGCTAATTCGCGATTTGATTTAGATTTCACATTTATTTCAAGTGGCTGCAAATACTTCGTTGTGTACAATGGGGGGGTAGTCCCATAGGGAAACTCCCGCAGGGAGAGGGGAGGAGAGAATTGTGGGGAGTGAAGTTCCCCCCCCCCCCCCCCTCCAAACCAAGTTTCATTGGTCCACTCTGACCTGTTCGGTAATTTCATTGGTAATTTTTTAAGCTTTATTTATACAGGTGGTCTCATTGAGTCATGAGGACCCACCCCCTAAGAGAGACATGTATTGGACAGCTATACGAGCGCCCGGGTGTGACAAAGCTAAATGTTTTGATGGCAAGAACCTTGTTAGTCCATAATAATAATAATAATCTATAAATGAGCCACAGCATTAATATTATTATAATACACTGCCTGGCCAAAAAAAAGTCACAACCAAAAAAAAAAGAAAAAAAAGTCACACACTAATGTTTCATTGTAACACCTTTAGCTTTGATTGTGGCATAGATTCGCTCTGGCATTGTTTCGATAAGCTTCTGCAGTGTCACAAGATCTATTTCCATCCAATGTTGCATTAATTTATCACCAAGATCTTGCATTGATGACTAGGCACTAGGCATGATGGGTGCATCACTTCACCTGCCTCTCTTCTTACCCTGATGCGCCCATCTCTCTGGAACAGATTAAATCTGGACTCAGACCACATGACCTTCTTTCATTGCTCCAGAGTCCAATCTTTATGCTCCCTAGCAAATTGAAGCCTTTTTCTCTGGTTAGCCTCACTGATTAGTGGCTTTCTTAAGGCTACATTGATGTTCAGTCCCAATCCCTTGAGTTCCCTTCACATAGTAGTTTCTGCAATCTCCTTAGATGTTTTCTCTGCTTGATGCCAATGATTTAACCCTTCTCAAACAGACTGACATCTTTTCCACAACCACGCAATGTGTCTTTCGACATGGTTGTGTAAAAAATGAGAAGCAACTCATAATCCTAGGCTCCGCCTTCTTCTGGGAGCACAGCCTATCAGAGTGTATCAGTGGGGTGACTATGTGTGACCTCATTGGCCTTATTTGTTTCTGATTATGAAAAATGGGTGAAAGTGCGAATCTGTCTAAGTAGTGGAAGCCAGCAAATTTAAAAAAAATTACTCCTTATTGGGTGTTGACCCAGGGAAACTCACTCAGAGCAGCTGGGCCCGTCTCATCTGTATAAAACTGGGCCAGAAGAGAGTCCGACTTTGTGCAGTCAAGACCGGGGGTCTCAGCATGATAAAGTAGGAAAATGCTAACAATAATTTAATATAAATACAGCTGAGTTTCTGAACTGAAATGTAACTTCAGCATTTTTAGTTGGACCAGGCACATTTATTTTACTATAAATGATTTTAGAGAACATAAAACTCAAACCATAGTCAGTGATGAGAAGTGTGTGAAGTGACATTTGCTTTGATTTGACACTTCACTAATTCTGCAGTCTGTACTTCTATATAAAAATGTAAGTGTGCACGTTCTTTGCACTCCTCCCGCGACACTCACCAGTGTAGTCTTCACGGCAGATACAAGTATAGCCTCCTTCTCTGCGGACACACACCCCTCCATTCAGGCAGGGGTTTGAGTAGCACAGGTTGATCTCCATCTCACAGTAATCACCCGTGAAGCCCACTGGGCATCGACAGCGCAGGCCCGCGATGGGGTGAATTGGCCGGAATAGGATGGAAGGTGAAGAAATGAAGGGGGCGGAGCTGTTGAAGCGCAGCACTGAGATGCACTTCATGTAGTTCTGACAAGGCTCCCGTAAACACACGTTGTCATCAAACGGCAGAACCTGAAGCAATGGGAGAGTGCAGACGAAAGATGTAGGGTCAGAATACAAACATGAGCAACACAAACCTAGATTTTCTTGTTGTACGCAAACATTTTGGTGAGTAATAGTCAAAATATTGATGTAAGTAAACATTTGCACTAAATATATTAAATTAGGTTTCCATTTGCTTCTGTTTTCAGGAAAAGCACAATGTGGAAAAAAGTTACTTGGAAACTTTAATGGCTCTTTAAGTGGACTTTACTGTAAGCCATAAAGGGCAGTACAGTAATGGAAAAAGTATAACCTTTTATTTATGAAGCTGAATCAATACAACAATAAGCTCCATTATATGCCGATACATCCAATCAAAAAGACGAATTAGCCTACCTCAAAACTTTATAAGTAACATCAGTAAAATGAACACAGTGTATGCAAAGTGAAAGCTAATGGCCACATTGACTTTTAAATTGACATTAAAAAAAAAAATATATATATATATATATATATATATATATATATATATATATATATACACACAAACTAACTCTCCTGAAAACTTGCCCCTGAGTAATTATTATAATTGTGAAGCTCATTAAACTAATACATCTATCTGTAATGTGTTTTTTACTACTTACCCGATTAGTAGAATTACTTTTAACTATTTAATGTACCATTTTGAAAAAGTTGTTTTTTTCTATTTGATCAAGTTTGACTGTAATATTTATAAGTAGTTTGAACAATTTGCAGGATCCAACATTATTTCCAGAAGACTGTGCAAAAGATGAATAGCAGGAAATATGAAAATGTGTTGCCTACTTATCAAAAGGTATTCTGATTCATAGTAAAACCCAAATAGCTGCATTGCTTACCACTTGTACAAAGTATGCAACATACTGTAAATACTTGTTCTCATGATCTGGTTTTTGTTGGTTTGTTGATAGTCTTTTCTGTTGGGTTTATTTGTTTCTTGTGATTCTTGAGTTTAGATTTAACTGCTGGTATTTTCATTTTCCTTGTGTTCATTTGTACCATCATTCACCTGCTCTCAGTAGTCTTCTCAATATTTCCCAGTCAGCCTGTCGTGCCACCTGTTCCTCATTCCCCATTAGTCTCAGCTCTAGCTCTCCCTTATCTTTATTTAAATAGTTTCTTGTTTTTCCATGTCAGCAGTCCATTATTGGCTTCAATGGCACAAATCTGGTTTCTCTTTGTGTCTCCCCAATGTGTTCCTGCCAACTCTGCCTTTTCTAACTTTGGCTGCCTCAACATTGTCAGGAGTCTGTAGTTCTTAGTGTTGAACCCAAGTGCAGGCAGACCACGGAGACTAGTAAACAAATTAAGAATTAATGTATTACTGAAAACAAAACAAAGGTGAGAGGCAGCAACTTCGCTGGTAGACACAGAGGGAGAACAGGAACATGACACCATACCGGATCATCCACGAACGAATGAGAAGACACAAAGATGCAGAATATAAAGGAACACTAATGAAAGACAATGAAGAACACCTGGGGTGATTGGGATAAGAGACAGGTGTGACAGAAGCTGACATCATGGGGGGAAAACACATCCTCTCCTATCCAAATCCTCTCTGACTTTTTTTTTTTTTTTTGTTCATTTGTTATAATAGACAAGTTTGTTTCTTGGAGATCCTTGAGTCTGTGCGTTTTAGGTCCAATCCTCCTACAATCGCAGCAATTTGAACTTCGACAGCCCACGTTAAAGCTGAGTGAAGTTCATAAGGCATCTTGCAAAGTGAACCGAAACTACAATTGTGCCAACATTTTTAGTCACTTCTCTTTTTTATGTTTTACTTTCAAAAGCACAATCATTTTGCAGGTATTTCTTGCCTTTCATCTGGAAAGTTTGTGAAATAAATAAATATCAGAGTTTCTCATTTTCTCAATGCTCACTGAAAATGGCAACATTTATTCCTACGATGTGAAATAAATTCATGATTGTTTTTCCTATTTTGTTGCTTCCCATAACTTCTGGTTTTATTTTCTTACAAGTGTAAATTTGTAGCACTTGTAGTTGATTATGTTTATCCACTAGTGTGTTGTACAACTTTTCACAGCTCTGTGCATTGCCATGAGCAAACTGTCTCCAGGAACTCTGGTTTCTTCCTACAGTTTAAAAATGTGTGTAATAAATGAATTTCCTTTGTTGTGAATGTGTGGGTTCATGGTTGTTTGTTTCTGTGCTGACCCTCTGATGGACTCAGACTTGTCCAAGGTGTATCCTACCTCTCCTACTCACAGCTCACTAACTCCCTGCAGCCCTGGACAGGATGAAGCAGGTTCAGGAAGTAAATTGGTGTAGAGATGGAAGTTTACATCTGACAGAACATCTGTTTGCGTGCAACTTGAACTGCTGTGAGTTGTGTTATCCTACATTTAACTGATGCACATGTGTTCAGAAATAAGATATTTCATGCGTGGCAACATCTGTTTCACATTATTCTCACTTCATAAGCAGTGTTCCTTAAATAACTGTCTTGTCTCATAAAGTAATCACTGAATTTACATTTACAACTGATTAACTCTGGTCAGATTGATTCAAGATGGCTGCCGCAGCCACCTCTATTAAAAAAAACACAAATTACTATAATTCAGTGAATTTTACAGATGTTGAATTAAAATGAGGGGTGTCGGTAGCAGAGACTCTTTTACAACTCATACTCTGAATGTTACTCCTTATGAGACATCTTTATTAAACCTTTGGCATTAACTGTTGGCCTGCTTGTCTGTTAGCAAAATATCTCATGAACCACTGGACAGATTTTAATAACAAAGACTGGATGTGCATCTACAACAGAGTATAAAACCCTTGAATGACATGAGGAAGATTATGTAAATTTCTTCAAAAATTACTAGGCCTTCAGTTACTATTGTTTCCAGAAGAAGTCACAACTCATTACCGTATATATCAGAAATCGTAAGATACTTATAAAATACAATATCAAATCATACTTAACATTAACTTAATTTTCCTGAATGTTCATTTTGTATCAGTTGGATTGCATTGTAGCTAAAAGCCCCATATTTTTAATTGTACTTAAGCATGAGGCACAAAATGATGTGCTTCCATTCAGAAAAATAATTCATTTTAGTTTGGGAGCGAACCATGTGGGTTTTAAAATAAGCACAACGGTTCCATTGTGCTGGGAAGTTCTAATATAACTGAAGACAGTTATAGTGTGATTATAATGGGCATGTTTCCTCCCGCAAGCAAACAAACAAACAAACAAACCTCCATCTGCGTGAGTGACGTCAGCCTCAGTCTGTTCAAGTACAGTTGCTCCTCCAGGGCCTCAGAGTGGAAGAAGCGTCCACCTGGCAACGTGGCAGAGAAGCTCACATTCAGGATGCTTCCCGGTGCTGCGTCCAGATCCGGCTGGATGTTGAAGATGAAAACATCCTCAACCGGCACGGATAGCACTGCAGACACCCCCTCCAAGAAGTTACTCAACAGCGGTGAGAGGAACTGCTCCTGGGACATGTTCTGCAGGCGGACAGTGACGCTGCTGCCCAGCATGTCCTCAGTGATGATGAGGACACGAAGGACACACTGAGCTGAGATGCTGTGGACCCCATCTGAAAGTTAAAGGAGAAAGAAGAAAAACAGGGGAATTGAGAAGATGGGCTCTTTGGTTGTTTAATTACATTATAAAGGAGGTAATGAAGAAAAAAATGAAAAAGATAAGAAGAAACTTTAACGTGAATCAGTGAGAAGACAAGGGGACAATTACACCGAGACAGAGAAGAAGACAAACATGTGAGAAGGCAGTAACCAAATCAAATGTATTGACAAGGGATGCATGATATTATTGGTATGGTATCGTATCAGCCGATATTATTAAGTTCAATATCGGACATCGGCCATTCCATCAAAATAACTCACCGATATAAAAGACACTGTTTGTGTATGACAACCCAGTGACAAGGATGCCTGCAGCACCAGCACAACGTGATGATGTCACGCATGCTTACCTGAACTGATCACGGCGGAGAGGAAGAAGTTAAAATGTCCGCGGTGTGGAAGGTTTTTTTTTTGTTGAGGATGTAAGATTCTGAAGATTTTTGGACTACGGTAAGCCTCGCTACATCGTCCCAAGTCGGATATATTTTTCTGACATAGCCTTACCCGAGTTACAAGCCGTCATTTCCAACGTCATTGAGAAGCTAATAACCGATAGCACTTGGGTGAGTTTTACCACAGACAAGGATGTCAAGTGTTAGCCCCGTTAGCATGATTAGTCTTACGGCACAATGAATAGACAAAAACTTCCCACACTGCAGCTAGGAACCTGGAACAAGCCTCCACACGTGAAACAGCATTGCAGGTGATTAATGCTAATAAATGACATTTAACACTTTTTATTTAATATAAATTAAAGTGCTATGCATATCAGATGGCTATTACTGAATATATGTGACCAGCTCTTACAGCTGTTACACATTTTTTGTAGCAAATAAGCCTAAATAAGAGGGCTATGTTCTGACAAAGTATATTAAAAATATTGGTATCGGTTATCGGCCAAATAAGTTTTAACATATCGGATATCGGTCAAAAATCTGATATTGTGCATCCCTATATGGACTATTGAAAAGAGCACATTTAAGACTGTTTTGTTACACAAATATTGGCATAAGTTGCACATTTACACAGACTATCCTGTTTTGATGAAAATAACAATTTTCAAAGAAAATCTCTTTGAGGTGAACAAGCATCTGCTGCCTTCTAAAGAACCAACCATAAAAAATAAAAAAAAGTTTCCCAAATGAACTTTCAGGGTTAATCAAAGTTAGTATTAAATTGCATGCTAACCTGATTCTCCTTGTTTCACCCTCGTTAACATTCAGATGCTTGAGTTTGTTAGTTAATTTGTATACTATGCTGCTCCAAAAATCTAAACTTCAAAGGATCTAGGACCTTTTTACTGTCGTTTACCTTTCCCTAAGAGAAAATGTTCACTTCAAATATAAAATGTCCTTTAAAATAATCCTATGATGAAATATTTCTGCCCTAATAGTCATCTCTTCCAGGGAGACGTTACCTCCATCCATAAGAACCCAAGTGCTCTCTTCTCTCATAAAACGTGTGAAAATTATGGAAATCTTTGCACTTTGCAGTCAAGCGTTTTCCATTCAACTGGACACTTTTGGCTTTAGATGTATGTATTAGACAGCCATCTCTACCATCACCATAAAACACCTCTAAGGGATTTTTTTATGATTGACATTGCTTGCCTCCAGTTAAGTCTCCTGTATATTTAGATTTAAATTGAAGGAGCCCTAAAACTGCTGTTCTGATGGTTCAAACTTTTAGTAAAAATATGTTTTTCTGAACCATTTAAAATAGTTTATTTTGCCAGTTCTGAAGAACACGTTAAATAATTGCTTAAGTTTGCCAGATGTAAGATACTTTTGCAAAACAGCACAATGTGGTTTTTAAAGCTTTGCCCAAGAAATTGATCGAGCCATGAAGTTAAATTGTTCTCCTTCTCTGATTTAGCATTCAAATATTTTTTGTGATTGACTAATTTTGTCGATTCACAAACAAAAAAGTTGTTAATGAATCACAGTATAGAGTTCTTGACTGCAATGTATTTTGTAAAACAATTTAGTGTGATAAGCTGCTGAACAAATACAAAGAAATAAAATTGATAGGAGGATTTTTAATACTTTAGTACTGATGTGAGGCTAAAGTCAAATAAACAAAACAATACAGAAACACTGAAAGAGAAAGAATAGAGTGGGCCTGTAAAAAGAAACATGTCAGGAAGACCAAGGACAGAAAAGAACACTACAACAATGGATGGAGGGTGAAAGAAGATGACAGAGAAGACCAGAAGAGAATCATTGGAGGGTGGACAACAACGGAGGTTTATTAAATCTAGAAAATAAAAAAGTAAAAGACACAATGGTTAAGAACGAGGAAAATGAACAAGTCCCTCTAAATGAAAAGGACTGCAAACAATAAATCAAAGACAAAATACTAAAACTGAGGAAATAAAACAGATAATAGAGGGAATACAGCATTTGGGAGACATGTAGGGTGGGGGGTTGGGTTTGGTGGCAGCTGGTTTGATTACCGGATTATGAAGAGCCTCCCTCCCCATTGACCTCTAACACCCACCCCCGTCCACACACACACACATACACACAGCATTTATAAAAAATTAACAGCTAGAGAAAAAAAAGTATATAT